TATCACAGCATTAACATAATATGCAACATGTTTCCTAGCTCATTTTAAGATATTGAACAAGAGGGGCAGCTTATTTTGTTCTTTTTCTATATTTGTCGTTTTTGTTATTGCTTTGCATCCATTCTAATATCCTGCAGGATCAGCATTGAGCTTGATAAAAGCTTCAAGCATTCATAGAATAATTATTGAAAGGTTAATAGGGATACTGAAACACATGGAAAAAGAAGATGAGCACTCTCTGTGAATAGAACAATTGCCTTCACCTTCCACATTTAAGAAAGCAGTTCAACCGGGCTGTACCTGTGTATGTGAACCAGTGAACTCAATGTCCACGTAAAGCTTTAGAAGATTCCTAACAAGATATTCAAGCGACAGTTGGTGGCCTTCAAATAATGTTGCTGTTACAGATGCACCACTGCACGTAAACAAGAACCACATACTCAACTTCAAAATGAGTATGGAAATAATAACAAATAATCAATGTATGTACATATCATGTACGTAAAATCACCTTCTACGAGGAATCCAGCAGTTCAGAACTTCGACCATCTTTGCTCTTAAGTAAGGATTTCTTATATACTCTGGGCTTGCCATAAACATAATAATGAAGTTCATAAAATCATCCTGTCAAAATGAAAACAAAATATCAAAGGTTTTCACACAGCAGAGTAGATGCGCAGCATTTAAAGAATCGAAAGAATCGACTAGGATCAGTTAAGAGTTACCAAATTGATTCCATCCAAAGCTTTTGGAATCCGAGAAGCAAATATAAGCAATTCCATTGCATCTTCCACGAAATGTTCTGGCATGGATGCAAATTCCATTGGGCAAGTTGATGGAAGAGGCATTTTAAATCCACCAACCAAACCAACTAACCAGACAACCATCAATCGATAGAAAGTAAGAGCTTGTTGGATTAGTGTCCCATCCTACAAAGAGGACAGAAATAACCACCATGGTTTGTAACACTCGGTTTCAAAGATAGATTCAACTGATGTAACCAAAAATCAACCACAATGAAGTTCATAACAGATAAAATCATATTTTACTGCATGAACAAAGATCAAATTTTTTGGTGCAAGTACCATCTTTAAGGAAACTGCAGATGTGCACAATAAGAACTTCCAATAGATGAGGAAGGTTGAGGGTATGGATCAAATAAACGAAGGGTGAACTTGTAGTTTTTATAGCATCAATTCAATTCACTAATTGCAATCAACTCATTAGATTAAAAGAGAGAGAAAAAAAAAAAAGAAAGAATGAAGATCTCAAAAGCTCAAAAATCATAAAGATAAAAAAGAATGAAAGCTTCCAAGTTAAAACAACGTGAGCCAACACTAGTAATTATCGTTGGTCTCCTACTGCCCATGAGAGGCTTCGAACTTGTAGCAAATTCTATGAGTAAAAAATGGTATAAACTGTCTCCAAGTTCATATCATTACAGCGAGCAATCAATCATTAAGTTCCAATGCCACATTCCCCTACCTAAAACTGGACTTAGCAAAAACTTACTAGGCATGGAAAGTAAAGAAAATTTTCGTTCCTTTAACCTATGAATCGATTTATTGAACCTTTCATTTCATCCAATTGAACCCTATACTCAAATGGTTGGTGAAGTTGATACGCTCGACCACTCACGTTTTATTTTTTAGACAATTTATGACTCTGATGAGGAATCAATCCAAGGGAAAACTGTGATACCAAATGATAGGGAATCAACCCAAAGGAAAGCTCTGATACCAAAATGATAAGGAATCGCTACAAGGAAAGTAAGATTCAAACTACCTTGTTGATCAAATATCTCAAAACAAGAATACTTGATTAAGATTCGAATCACTCCACAATTTAATTACAAAACATACAATTCTTGAGCAATTGTTGAGCTTTTTAGTTGAGTTCGCATGATTTATTGGTTGGTTCCTTGAGCAATTTTCTAATTTAGTTTCAAATACTAATTTTACCACTAATTCAAGTTTAAAGTTAAAATGATTCACTTAGCCAAGTAAAGGGGAAATATGTAATTTTTATCTTTTTCCAAAATTTAATTACAAAACATACAATAACACAATTCAAAGAGAAGAGTGACGCAGAAATATACCCTCAGTATTTGAGCTTCATAACAAAGCTTTTCCTGTGAGTACAACTCTATTTCCTTCTCAAGGCGAGCTATATCAATTTCAAGTTGTGGGGCGGGCCCTTGTCCTTGCATGGCTTTGAGTGTGGACAATGTATCTTCACACCTAGATATATCCTGGACAAAATTTACTTCATTTGAGAAGGTCCATCACACGGGATAAATGAAGGAAACAAATGAAAATAAATTCTTAACCAAAAAAAATCAGAAAATTGCATGTGGCACACCAATGCATGATTCATAGCTACCTGTACTAAATGTTTGAAGTCTGAAAATGCTTTTAACAAGCCCAAATTCAGCACCCTTGCAGTCATAAAGAAGCACTCACATATGAAAGGGTACCTAGTTTTATCACTACTCGATCTTGCCTTTGCAGTAGAAGATCCAGTAGTAGCATTACTGCCAGAACTGGAAGCTTCTTGGGATTGCAGCAGGCGACTTTCACTGTTGCTGAACTGCCCGGAGTTATCAGTATTCAACTGAGTACCATTATTAATCCACTCGGTAACTTCTTCCGACGAAGCATGTAGAGCAGTTAATCCTCTGACAGTTACACAACCACATTTAAGAAAAATCGTACTGGGTATAATTATCAATAACAAGATCAGCAAGAAAACAAAAGCCACTCACCTTAGCTCCAAGCGGTTACCATAACATACATATTTTGGATCAATTTTATCCCTTTTAGTCAAGTTTGCATCTAGAAATGGCTCACAGAGACGTAGCATGATGGCACTGAGATTAACAAACATCCCCGAACTTGCACAGGAGAGAGGATCAACCTACGAAAAGAAAATACATTGCATCGATTGTTAAAGTGGAAAAGAGGCTTTACCATTCATCAATATTCCTCTACAGTCACCAAAGAAGCAGATAAAAATAATAAATCAACCTTTGAACTTGAAATTCAATCATTCTTTTGAAATCAAAATATTGAATATGGCTACACGTTGACAATAATCAAACTCGTGGTGTACAGCAGACATCACTGAACTCATACAAAAGTACCTGTATATGAGCCCTTGATGAGTTTCTATTTATCACCTCTGCAAGATACTCGAGAACATTTTCACGGGTCTCTGTGTTCTTAAGAAGGGAGAGAAGAACTTCCGCGAGGCCATCATATAAGCTATTCATGACAGTTTTAATTGTAGTGAATGAAGAAAGTAAATCAGTTGGTCTACGAGTGGATGCTTCTGAAAAGCACTGTTGCCTGAAGTTCCCAACAAGAGATTCACTGGTGAGAGCAGAAACAATGTATACAAATAAACAAAACCTCAAAACACATTAATTAACACTCACCCAACATCAGGTTGGCTCTTAAAAATGGCATGGTCAGGCAGAGCACTGACATGGAAGAAATGCCCCAAAATGCTTGTCATCTCAATGACACGCCCATTGGAATATTTTCCGGTGGGAATCCACCAAGGGTGATTTACAAGAGATTTAGCACCAACAGGAAAACTGACCAGAAACCTAAGTGCCCTTAAAGGCTGCTGGAAGTTCCCAAGAGCCGAAACTTTAAGGACACTACCCCTTAAATCCTCATACAACCCCTTCAAGATAGGGTCTAATGTATCAAAATCTGAGTCACGTAGAAACTCCTCCAAGAAACCAGGAGGGCACTGAAGACCACCAACACTGCTAGTAGACCCAAATCCATCCACGGAGCTCCCAACCTCAGAGAAAACTAACGGAAGCAAAGGCGAAGTGTTGGACTCAGCACCCAAATCCCCACCCGAAAACAATTCAGGATTTCCCAAATGAATCCTACAATACGAAATCGCCAACTTCTTGGCTTGCTTTAGCGCAATTTCAATATCAGAGCGCAAATTCTTATCCTTCATAGAAGCGATTTTCTTACTCTCGTCGTGAGCTCGACGGTAGCAACCGATTAGGTACTGAAAAGGAGGCTCTGCGGATGGAAAATTTCCGGAAAGGCGATCGATTATGAGGCGCTCCATCACATCTCTTGAAATCCTCAATTGCTTGCTCTCGCTAAGGAGTTCGGCGGCGGTTTGCTCGAGATAGACGATCCGAGAATCGGAATCGGAAGAACCGGTGAGAGAGACAAGGAAGACCTTACGAAGAATAATGTCTTCAACCTCCTCAGGTGACCTTTGAGGTTTTGAGGTCGCCATTAGAGTTGAGTAAACGGAGGCCGGAGATCAAAGGACTGAACTTTCTGTCAATGCAAAGAGAAGAGAAGACGGTATATAAGGAAAGGATGGACGTCCCACTTATCGTCGTCCTAATTTCTCTAATAATGTTGTTTAAATTAAAATAATAATAATAATAATTAAGGATAGGTTTTATCCAAATAATATAAATATTGTGAATAAAATAAATTATTATATAAATAAGTGCAAACTATTTACGAGTTATTTTTAACGTAGCCGCTGATGTGTATGCCAATGAAGTTCACAATCTCTGTTAATATATTTATTAATTAATTAATTTTTGTCATTCGTTTATAGTTAGATATGAGACAGTGTAACAATATGAATGGTGTGACCTCACATTAATGGAATGGGAGAACAAAACATTTTTTATAATGATATGAAACCTCTCTCCAGATAAATTAGCAGTGAGTTTGGACTATTACAGTGTATGTGAAAGAACACTGTCTTTCTAATTTTTATAATTTCATCGGAGTTTTTTAAATTTTACCCACAAGTTCTCCCGTTAATTTTTTAATATTAAAATTTTATGTTTTTTAAGAATAAAATTTAAAATTTAATAAGTATTTTTTTTTTAACATGAGGGATATAATTGAAATTAATTAAAGATGGAGTATTTTCATAATTAAGCATATTTTATATTTTCAGCGGTCTCTCTTTCTTTTACTATTTTGTTATTTTTTGAGCGATCCAGCCTTCTTTTTCGTCTAAACCCTACTTCTTCCTTCACCTTCAGTCACCCTCCCTCCCATTACCCGCCACTGCACCCCGCCCCCTTCGCACCTGTCCGACGCAGTCTGAGCGGCTACCGTCGCACGCTGTAATCTCAGCTGCTGCAGTCTCAGCCTCTCGACGAACTCTCCGCCGCTCCCTCTCTCGCTCGCCTCTCCGAGCAACCAGAGTCACTCATCATCATCTCTGCGGTTTGTTTTTCTCAGAAACGGTGATTCTTCCTCTAACCCACGAAGTTGGTGAGATTGCACCGCCGCTCATTTTTCAAACCCCCTAGGTTTTTGTTTTTTGTTTCGTTGATTTTTGTTGATTTACTCTGTTCACCAACGAAGAAGAAAGTTAGAAGGAGCAAAACTTTTATTTTGTTGAGTAAATAAAAAAAAAAATGTATTATTCTTATCCGAATTACTAGATTGAAAGAAAAAATATGATTTAGAAGTTGAAGAAAGCGTATAAAATAACTCACCCCTTATGTAGTCTGATTGGCTACAGAAAATTTATTGGAATAAAAACTGTATTGAAAAGATTGAAATTATTATAATCAGTTTTGAAAAAAAAAAAAAACAGCAAAATACACGAACAAACAAAATACAAAATTAACACGAAGTTTGCTTGAATATGTTTGAGGTTACTTAAACATAGAAGAACTATCTATGGATATGAACTGAATGGGTATTTTTTCTAGTGTATTCCTTTAATTTTTATGTTAGCTGTTTGTCTAATGCTTTTGAGATCCTCCAAACCAGAGGGGCAAAAACTCAGCCTTGCCCAACCCAATCTTCATAGTTTCAGGTCGGGCTCAGTGAAAGTTCTGGTTTGAGATTATTGGGCGAGTTTCGGATGATTTTGAAGAATGTGGTTATATGTGAAAGAAGCACTAATTGAGTACTTCTACTTCTAGCATTTTAAGCATATTTTAGCGGATTTTAACTAACCAGACTCGTAAATTTTGGGAAGTGTTTTTAATTGACTTAAAGTCAAAACCCGTCTTTTCCCCATTGTTAGATGTAGAATTTTGGCAGCTATTAGTAGGGTTTCAGATATATTTGTGTAGTTTGTGGTATCTATTTAGTCCAAATAGTATCTGTTGCAACTCAATTATACTCCGTATAAACAATGGTTGATTTGCATGAAGGTTATATATTGGTAAGTTTTCGAAGTTGGTAACCTAGATTTAATTTTCTTACTGAGTAGATTAATCATATAGTATTGTATCATTCGCCTGTTAACACATACTAAACATTATTAGTAGCTGATTTGGATTACTTAAGTGAAAGATATAGTAAAGAATAGATATAAATAAGAAAAGGTAAAAAAAATAAAACTAAGGGCATTATTAGAATAACTTACAATTTGGATACATTCCACTCATCCAACTATTCACAGCTATCTGTACCATTTTTTCTTGTCAACATGGTAATCTTAGATTATCAAATATATCCTCATTCTCAGGCTCCTTATATTTTGAGCATCAGAGATTCCTTGTAAGCCAAAATGGACAAGATGAAGATAGAAGAGGTTCAATCAACCTCTAAGAAGCAGCGGGTAGCCACTCACACTCACATTAAAGGCCTTGGTCTTGAGGTATCTCACTTTAACTTTACACTAAATAGTAAATAATCATTGTTATTTGGTCTTAAAATTACTTTTAGACGAATAGAAAATTGTTACGTTCCATGTTTTAGCTTGTGTTTGATATATTACATTTACTTTCTTTGCAATTTTTGTATTAACTTTCCTCTCTTGGAGCTTCAGGGCTTGGTTGTTGCCCCCTCTGTGCTTCAAATCTCTTCTCTAACTCTCTCTTAATTTTCCACTGTAGGCCTCAGGAAAGGCAATGCCACTAGCTTCAGGTTTTGTGGGTCAATCAGAAGCAAGAGAAGCATCAGGGCTTGTTGTTGATATGATACGGCAGAAGAAAATGGCTGGCCGAGCACTTCTTCTAGCTGGACCTCCAGGTACCGGAAAGACTGCACTTGCACTTGGAATATCACAGGAGCTAGGAAGCAAGGTCCTTCTGATTTCCCTTCCATTACCACTCCTTGAAAGGCCCCAAAAATTATTTCAGTGTTGACTTTAAAAGTTCGGCAGTTTTTGGTTTAGAAAATATACTTACTTTATTATCATGGACAGGTTCCCTTTTGTCCAATGGTTGGGTCTGAAGTATACTCATATGAAGTGAAGAAAACTGAGGTTTTGATGGAAAATTTCCGACGATCTATTGGTCTGCGAATCAAGGAAAATAAAGAGGTCTATGAGGGAGAGGTAATTGCCTTGTGCTTACACCATATGAATCTTTAATTGTTGTTGTGGATAAGTACTACAAACTTTTTAATTTGTAGTGGTGTTGATATGATGTATCTTTCCTAGGTGACAGAACTTTCACCCGAAGAAACAGAGAGTGTGACCGGTGGCTATGGTAAAAGCATAAGCCATGTTATCATTGGTTTAAAGACTATTAAAGGAACAAAGCAACTAAAATTGGATCCGACCATCTATGATGCCTTAATTAAAGAGAAGGTGACATTTTTCTAATTTATTGTTTCTTGTTTCTCTCTCTCTCTCTCTTTTTTTTTTTTTTTTTTTTTTTTTTTTTTTTTTTTTTTTTTTTTTTTTTTTTTTTTTTTTTTT